AAGCCTTCAGAAATGCCGACAAATATTTGCCAAGGGCAGGCAGTATGTTTCTGCAGGCGGATGGCAAGGCCATTGTCAAGGTTTCCAGGAAGTCACAGAATAGCGGGATTGTTGTGCAGCCCCAGCCCCGGCTCCCATATGGAGCAAACGTGAAACAGATTAAACATTTATCTATTGTCCTGTCCTCCTCAATAAAACATCACACTCTTTAAAGTGGTTGCTTTAATGACGTTTGTGTGTCTTGGAATGCCGCCCTGGCTCAACCAATCCCATCCGAAGATGTGAAAACATGAAAATCGATAAAAAGAAATGAAAAGTCTGTTTTGCTGATAAGATGCCATTTATCTTAATCATGGGTGCTTCTCAGAATTTCCTAAGTGCTTTCAAATGTCAGCCATCAAAGCTAGACCCCCATGCGCATGGAGGAGGGGAGGGGAGCCGAAGCAAGGACCCAGACTGCTCTGCTCTTGGTGGCCACGGTCTACCAAGGAGAAAGCACTATAGTGGAGCCAGCACCAGTGACTGCTTCCCAAACCAGCCGCTCCCATGGGGGATTTCCAAGGGCCTTGAACTCTGGGCCTGGGCGCTGTCCCTCAACTCTTCAGCTCAAGGCTAGTGCTCTACCACTTGAGCCACTTCTGGTTTTCTGGTGGTTTATTGGAGAGTCTCATGGACTTCCCTGCCTGGGCTGGCTTTGAACTGCGATCCTCAGATCTCAGCTTCCTGAGTAGCTAGGATTACTGTCTTGAGCCACCAGTGCCCAGCAGATATTTTGGTATTTCAAAACTCCTTCCTAGGAAAGATACTTTACAGGACACCGATAGTGAGGCTTCGGTGAGCTCCTGTTGTAGGCTTTCTATAACATGATAACATTGTTACACTCATTGTGTTGACTAGTGAGAATAATTAGTACTGCACACCCAAGAAGCTTATCTAAGTCAGCTCTTCACATCCAGGGGTTCTGCAACCATGGGTCCAACCAAGTGCAGTCAGTCATCATTCCCCAACAGTACACTGCAACAGCATTTATGTTGTATTAAGTTTTAACGTAGAGGGAGCAGATGTGTACAGTTATGTGTAAATATGATGCCATTTTATATACAGGACTTGCGCATAAAGAGATTCTGCTATCTGTAGGTGATTCTGAAACTAATTCCCTGAGGGGACCATGGGATAGCTGTGTCTCATCCTGCACACAGGTTGGCTGGCAGCACTCCTGGTGTGACCTCACCTCCCTTGCCAATGGGATCAAACACAGCAAGAGCAGGGAGGGCATGTTGATCCCCAGAGTTCAGGATCTGGCCTGGAGTCTTCTTTATTCACATGCACAGCCAGATCCATTCTGTGGGTTCCTTTATCTCTTCTCAGAGGCCATGCTTAGAGGTTAGGGGAGGCCTGGGGGCTCCCATCCTTTCTGCAGCACCAGGAGAGGAGGCTATGGTCTGGCCAGCAGCTGTTGTTGAGGGCAGATTGGGGCTGTGTGGGTGCTTCACCTCCTTTCCTTGTTGCCTTTTGCTCTCCAGCTACGGACATTACCCAGAAATGAGAAGGGCAGGGCCAGACCTCCATGTTGTTCATAGAGCTTTCCTCAGTTTTCCCACAGAGAGGGAAAAAAAAATAATTTTCTTATAACAAAATCTGTATTCCTCTGATTGTAATCTGATTCCTCCCGAACATTCTTTGTACTGTAGCTGGCCTGGCTTTCTGCCAGTTCCTGTAGGAATCAAGTCTTCATCTTCCCTAGGATACTCAACCATGATGTGCCCTTGAATGGTTAGGGTCTTTGCTTAAGTAGTTCTGTGATTCAGGTGTAACCCTTTTTGACATTTTTTTCAACTTAAAAAATTATCTTTAAGTACTTGTACAAAGGAGTTGCTATTTAACAAAGCAGTTTATGAATATAATATGTCTTGATCAAGAAACCTTTTTTTTTCCCCTTTTTACTTGTAGTACTTGGGATTGATCTCAGGGTCTTGCATATGCTTGGCAAGCACTCTGCCACTTGAGCATAGCCTTCAGGTGTTATTTAAAAATGTTACTTTTTCAGACCTGTTTTGGCCTTTAAATCGAAATGAGAACACTTTCACTTTTTTGTATAGTTGATCCTTTGTCTCTGTGGGAGATTGGTTCCAGGACCAAGTGAAGATACCAAAATCTATGGATATGTAAGTCTCTTGTATATAAGGGCATTATATCTGCACGTGTGTAAGCCTCCCCTGTATTTTAAATCACTTCCAGATTACATATAATACTGTAAGGTATGTCAGTCTTTATGAACAGTTTTACATTATACTGTTTAGGGAGTAATGATAACTTAAAAAAAACCTGAACATGTTTAATGTAGGTAGATAAAACCAGGGTTTGAATTCAGGACCTTGTGTTCACTCATCTTTGCTTGTTCTGCTGGTGCTCTATCACTTGAACCACCCCGCTACTCTGGCTTTTTGCTGGTTATTTGGAAATGAAGTGTCATAGGCTTTCCTTTCCTGTCTCAGGCTGGCTTCAAACCACAATCATCTGGATCTCAGCCTCCTTTCCATAGCAAGGATTATGTAGCTAGACCACACATATATTTAATTTGAGACTGGCTGATTCTGTCACTATGAAACCTGTGAACAAAGGGCCAACTGTATTTCTCCTTCATAGTGGTTATCAGTTTGCAATGTGAATGATTTTTTCATGTGTTTTTTCTAGATGGTGATGTTACTCAACACATACAGACTGGGCATATGGCTCACTGGATAAATGAGTGAGCTCCACTGAGTACTCATTCTAAGGGGTAAACAGGCCAGGCTCAAAGTTGGGACCCTCTTTCTTCCCTTTGGAGTCCTAATATTCTTTAGGGTCAGAGAATTTGAAATGGATTCTGATTTATAAACAAAAACCTAAGCGGATTTAATTTTCTTAGCCTTGTGTTCCCAAGTTTAATTGAATGTGACTCCCCCCCACCCCCAGTATCATTAATATTGAACTTGAATGTTGCTTCATTGGAAGGATCTCACCTGGCAAGCCTGTAAAGCAGTCAGACATGGCTTGAGGGTGGCCTATCCAATGATGAACACCCTCAGAGCTGAAATGCTCTTGTAAGCATGTATCCATATATGCTATCAAACCAAGGCGGCTAGGGACATAAGAATTTGCAGCTAGCCTGGCTTACCTTTCTTTTTTCCTTGAGAAGCAAGCAAGAAGCAGGAAGTTAGTGCTTGTAGCAGCTCTTACTGACTTCCTTTCATTAAGGGCTGCATCTGAAAGTATTTAGGAAGCTGGTGTGTAGAGGTAGGTAGGTCCCTTAGTGAGTGAGTCAACCTGCCACCCAGACTGTGTCCCAGAGCAGTTCTCTTGCACTTGGGATCTGGACAACTCTGTTGGATTTTCCAATAGATCTAAGTGAGTGTGATGAGGAAGTCTGTGCAATGTCAGGACTGGTGAAGGTGTCAGGATTTAGCTCTTTTGCATGACTAGGTACTGCACAAGTAAGACACTCGAGGTGAGGCTGTATGAAAGGAAATGAGTCTCAGTTTATTTTGGACCCACCCCATAATAGGCAGGGCAAAAACTGTTTGACCTCTTGACTCCATCTGGTCTCATTTTCCAGTGGAAAAATAAATTAGTACTAATTTGGGGGAGTAGCTATGTATACATTTGCTCTAACAGTGGTATAGATGATTCACATGGGAGCCACGATGTATACATGTTGGAGAGTCTAGTTATTGGAAAATTATAGCCCCAGAATACTGTTGATGCAAATAAGCTTTGATATATGCTGCAGGTTAACCAAGCAACCCACAACAGAATAGACTGATAATGATGAAGCTAAGAGTAATTCATAATTAGACTCCTGATGGCAGCCCTTGAAAACTGCATCCAACTCAAGACATTGATGAAGTGCTCATAAAGAAACCTTGTCCCAGACTTTGGGAATGTGGACTCTGTACTTATGTAGGGTACTCAGCAACCTTTATAGCACTTTTTTTTTTTTTGGTAGCTGATTGCAATGCATTAAGCTAGTAAGATGTAAAAATGAAATCTTAAATCACATTCATCAACTGGGCTGGGGGGGTGTAGCTCAGCATTTTGAGTTCACGCTAGCATGCACAAAGCTCTGAGTTCAATCCCCATAACAATGTACTATGATGTTCCAAAGAAGACAAAAAAATCAGTTTAAGGCATACGAGGATGGATGCCTTTGATCAGATGTTCCCAGCTTCCCACCCTGCCCCTGTATCTCACTATGGAGAAAGCTTTTCCCCCTTTGGGTAGGTCTTTTCTTCCCTACCTCAAGCAGACTAGAGATGTATAGTGGATTCTCATTTTAAAACATTTTAAAAGCAATGTGTATGACTATGTATAATGGGCTATTAATATTTTTTTAAACCTAAAGATTTTAGTACATTTAGGTTCTGTCTAACGAATCTGCTTGAAATGGTCAAGCAGATAGGGGTGGGGTGAAGGAACAGAGAGAGAGATTGGGAGAGATAGGGCTTTCATTAGACATCCATTCATGCTTTGTTATACTATTTATATATTCACTATTACAAATAACAATGGATTTAAATTTAGAATAGTGGAAAAAAACTACTTGGTGATCTTACAGAGACTTGATTCTCTTCTTTTTTTTGGTAGCACTGGGGATTGAGCCAAGGGCCTTAAGCATTTAGGCAAGCGCTTTGCCACCAAGCTAACCCTAGCCTGAGACTTGAGTCTTAGTTCAGTTTTTTCTTTTTCAGACATGAAAGCTAAGTTTGGCTTATTTATGATTAGGATGCCTCTTTCCACCTTCAAATTCACAGTCACTTATCAATAAAAGGTCCAGAATCCAATGAGAAACATCTTGGGGAGACAAGAGGGCTGTACTGTAAAGATCTTAATCCTGAAACACAATTTTCTTATTATTAGACGTTATTTAAAAAAAACCCAAGTATCTCATTTTCATTTTAAACACCAGAGAAAAGTGACACCAGAGATAAATCACAAAAAAAGAGACAAAATTCACACAAAGCTGGTTTAAATGAACACATTCCTCCTATTTCATTCTGCTTTAGGAGACCAAAACCATTAGTGTATTGATTTGCTAGAAGACAGAAATAGGAACTGTACACAGTTTAGTGTTTCCTAATAAAAACAGGGTATTTCATTAATTATGTAAAAAAGAACTGTATTCTTATATATAAACAGGAGACAATATGCTGCCCTTTATACCTTAAATGCTCATTATGCTGAGAAATAATTAGTATAAAATATCCAAGGAAAGGTGGCATGTATGTAAATGTTCTGGATTCTGAGTTACAGCATAGAAAAGAGTAGGCTAAAGGAATGTCTTAGGAGTGGTGAGAGGCCGGACTAGGTGGTATAGGAACACTGATGAATTCCTCAAAGCAGATATGGGCTTAGTATAATAGGCCCAAGTTGTGGCAACACAGCCATGTCCTCCTGGAGAAAGCTACACAGGCTGGTGTCTCTCTGGTACATGTATGAAACTTGTAGAATAAAGATACAACATGAGCGCAAGTGATAATCCCAAGGCCTTGAGCATTTTAAGGGCGTAAGTGTTAAGTACCATAAACCTTACCTCTCTGTCTCTCAGGGTATCCCCTAGATATTATCCCCATGTCTTGTTCCCCCAGCTCTTTTGTGTCCCCGCCCCCAACCCAATACCCCTTCTTTTCCTATAGGACCTGACAGCCATGCACAAATAGAACTCTAAGTGGGGTTCACAGAAAGAAGATACAAGTAACCACAAGCCCTTGAGTCACCCACGCAAGGAAACTGTTCAGCTTTGGTCTAAATGACTTACATTTTTCCTCGCCTGAATTAGCTGGTAATTGCATGTGGGCAGACTTCACCAGAATGGTCTAAATGATCAATTAGAAAGCAAAAAGGAGTTCCTTTCTTTAAAGTTCAAGGGTCTCTGTTGAAGAGCCCTACTTCCCAAGCGAGACTCACAGGGGCCCGTGCCCAGCTCTCTGCAGTGCCTGAGTATATTGTACATTTGCCTAACGATAATGAATTGAGTACTTATTTTGCAGGAAAATATAGGGCATTTCCATTACATGCAATCAAGCAAAAAGGCTGCAAAATGTGCTACTCCATTAATTCTAAACAGAATCCTTCCCAAATGTCACCCTCAAACCAGAGTATGGGGTTATTATAAATCTGAAGGAATTAAGAGTAATTTTCATTTGCACAAAGGGTTTGAGAGACATGACTCCTGCCACACACACACTATTAATTGGGATAAATTCAACTAGCCAATTTCAGCATGAATCACCAAGCCCTGACCTAGCCTGCCCCTGCCCCGAGATCAGTGCTTCCTGTCTTCTTTGAGGATGAGGGTGTGCACAGGTGATATTTGTGTGTGTATGCTCATGCACGCGAGCGCGCGCACGCACACTCTTTAGGTGTGCTAAGAACGGGATGTAATTGACAAGTTATTAACAAATAGGCTGTTCAAAGAAGAAAAACCAGCTGAGTGTTGGCAGTTCATGCCTGTAATCCTAGCACCTGGGAGACTGAGGCATGAAGTTATGAAGTTTTGAGGCTAACCTGGGCTAGAGCAACATTCTGTCTAAAAACAAAACAAAATAGGGAGCAGAGAAGAAAAATACCAACAACTAGCAGGTCACTTAACCTTTGAGCCTCAGTTTCCTCATGTGCAAAGGAGAAGGGAATATTTACTTCCCTGGAATCAGGATTAAAGAGCTGGAGCACAGGAGGGCACTTAGGAGGGTGGCATCTTTGGTTTCCATCAATGGCAGCTTGTGGTCTCCATGGGCATCTTCTGGGAACTCTGGGCCTACACTATTCCCAAGGCATGCAGAGGGAAAGCTGGACTGGCACCTTTCCCTTCACGGTCGGGTGAGTCTCCAGGGCCTAGAAGGTGATAGATCAGCCCACTGAGTTACTGGTCATCTCCTTCCTGTCCTCAATTTCCACTATCTCTGGACAGACACTGGGCTTGTGGGGGGAGCACAGAGTAGGAGACAGGTACAAGCAAGGTGAGGCGGTCCCCGGAAGCTGGTCCAGTCTGCCATCAGTGGGGGCTGCTGGGTGGTGGGAGGCCTTGCCTCTCATTCCACGTTCCGGTACTTGGTAAAGAGGTTATACAGCACTCGCAGCGTGGACTTCAGGTCACAGTTGACGATATCTGCAGAGAAAGCAAAGCACCAGCTACCTGAGAGGGGATACCTGTTCCAGAGTTATTTATTGTCTCCCTTCCCTCTGTTGCTCATCCTCATGCCCAGCAGGACCCTGGGTTGGCTTATGGCCACCAGCTGTAGATGGTGGCATGGATATGCAGCAAGAATTGAGAGCAGGTGAGGGGAGAGTGTATAGGGGAGAGGTGGGAGTTTGCAGGGTCTCATCTCCCAATGAAATAAAGCATGCCCTACCACACACAAGCTTCACATCTGTTTCTGGGGCCTTTCTCCCCCTGCCTCTGCCCTTCATCACTGTGCCAACTGTATGCAAAGGAGATGCTCCCAGAGGACATAGGATTCCCCCCCTGCCCCCTCCCCCTCCCCCCTCCCACCAGGCAGATAGGAGGCACTTGCCAGGGAGGATTCAGGAAGTCGGCTTCTCATTACGGATAGAGCAGGCAGGTGGTGTGAGGCATTGAGTGGAAGTTGGGATGTATTTTCAAGTGGGTTCATCTAAGTTCTGAGCCTCTGAGTAACAGTTCTTTCTTGTCTTCTTGGAGAAGGTGGATATGAATGAGGATGTGAAATGATGGAAGGGGGCAGGGACCAGGGGAAGGGTTGACTGTGTCTTGCTAAAGCCAGCTCTTCCTGAGAGTCAGAAATAGTTTAAGACTGGAGAGGTGTGGTGTATGTGTGTATGCGTGTGTACATGCCCGTGCATGTGAGGCAAAGATGGGGTTGGGGCTGGGTCCTTAAAGGTTTGGAATTTTACATTGTGGAGTTTGGGTTATGCTAGGAGTACGCTAGAAGTTGGACATGCCCACTCTCAATGTTTGTATATACTCCTTCCGTCCCTTCTCTTCATTTATGTGTCTGTCCACCGTCGTCTTTGACTGCTCCTCTAATCTCTTCGAGCTCCCCCACCCTCCTCTCAACGCAAGGGCTTTCTCTGATTTCATGCCTCTATTCCTTCCTCTAGCCATCCTTTGAAGACTAAAGTAAACAAACAAAAAAAACTCTGTCTACTTTTTTGGAATGCATGCTTAGGTAGTAAAACTAAGGGAAAGCAGGAACAAAAGAAAAAAAAAAGCCAAACCCCTGATGATTATGAAAGTCAGGGCAGTGGTCACCGTTAGGGAGGGCTGAGGGATGTGTTCAGAAAGGGCACAGGGCGGGTTGGGGGCAGCCCCTGGAAGCTGCCATTACTCTTGTCCTTGACTTAGGTAGTGCTGGTGTGAGGGTGTCTGGTGATTTGTCTTAGGTATCTTTCTGACTGTAATGTTTGCACAATACAAATGATGAGAAGCATAGCCATGCAGGAGATGAACAATATAAGACAAGATAACAGCTTATCTGGGATTCAAAAGTGGGAGAGATCATGGAGCCATGGGGAAAGCAGGCTGGGCTCTGGTCTATAGGACCAGAGCTTGAAGGCCAAGCAGAGTGGAAGGCCTGGACTCCTTTGCAGACTACAAGGTGGTTCCCAAGCCTTGCTTCTCTTGTGGTTGTGGCTGCCACAGCCAGAGGCACTAAGGCCCAGGCTCTGTGCTGTGAAGACAAACACTGGTGGTGTTATAAGCTGAGGGTGTTGGGCTGGGAGCCTTCTTAGGCTCTACCTCCATGACTCCCTCATCTCTTCTCTGTCTGGTTCATCCTGGTTGGTACCAGCTCCCAGGGACCTCCCTAGAGGCCTGGCTGGCACAGCTTCCCGTTGTGTTCCCATGCTGGTTTGTACATACTTCTGAGCCTTTTCTGAGGGTCCAGGCTGAGGGCTTTGCCCTACTGTGCTGAGCTGAATCCTATTCTTAATTGCCTTCTACCAGCTGTAGTCCCATGCTTTCTGGCTGGTTCTTGTCCTCTCTTTGACATCAGCTGAGTGTTTCTTAGGTTTCAAGTTAAGTCTGACAAAGGGGGCTACTCTAAGGAGGAATTACTAGGAAGGCAAATGGGGGAATGGAGAGCCCACCAAGGGAGTGAGCATGGAAGGGAAGGCAGCGTGGTTCTGGGGCCACAGCAGCAGGCTCCTAACTGGTCTCCTCTTGCCTTTGCCAATTCATTCTACTTGCTGTAAACAGACCATTAGACATCTAGGTTTGGCTGTGAACTACACAAATCTATTACCATAGACTGTAATGTAAACTGGAGCCCCTTGGAGCTATGTACCTCACAGCCACTTCACTTAAGGTAGCTTCCCCTCTGCCCCCCCCAGCCCCCCAATTCTCGGCCATGGCTTTGCATGGCCCAGCCTACTCTCCAGTTTCATTTCATGCCACACCTGTCCCCTATACATCAGGGCCACACTGCTTTCTGTCACTGCCTCCCGGTGGCTGTCAAGGCCCTGCTCTACTGTTGCAATGTCTACATGGCTTTTTCCCTAGAGGTGGCCCTGGTTTTTCTTCAGACTTGGGTCTGGGTCTGTGTATGTCTGGGGGTGGGAGGTGGGGGGGGAGGGAAGTGTGTTCTCAGAGCCCCCAAGTGCTACCTTTGTAGCACTGGCTGCAGTTCTAAGTAACCTGCGTTTCTATGATTTGATTAGTGTCTGCATCTGCCTTGGGCCTCTGTGGCTTCAGCAGAGAGCTCAATTGCTGTAACGCTTACCATGCACAGACCTCCCAAAGTACCAAGAGATACATGAATAACCACTTTATCTAATTTTAATGCCCATTAAGTTTCAAAGCCCATCTTCACTATAGTTGTGTAATATTGGTAGTCAATTAGCTTCTCTGAACCAGCTTTCTCACTGGTGAAGTTGGATAACTTATTTCTTTGGACAGAGTCTTGCTATGTTGTCCAGGCTAGCCTTGAACTCAAGTTGTTCCTGCCTTAGTAGAGTGCTAGGATTACCAGCATGCCCTACTATGCTTAGTGAGCAGTAATATCATCATGAAAAACACTGGGAACATATGAATGGTCCCTTAAATAGTAGTTTTCTCATCTTTGCTAATAACAGAGCAGCTATCAGTACAACTCTAGGCGTCACCATTCATGAATATTAGGCCTTCTTAGGGAGTCTGAGTTGTTCTTCGTCATCACCACCATTGTGGTCAAGAGATACTGTGTACCATTTGTTCTTACCAAGAAAGCCAATTGGCTGGGTGCTGGTGGCTCATGCCTAGCCACTCAGGAGGCTGAGATCTGAGGATTGAAGTTCAAAGCCAGCCCAGGCAGGAAAGTCCATTAGACTCTTTGCTCTAATAAACTATCAAAAAGCTGGAAGTGGACCTGTGGCTCAAGTCATAAGAGTGTTAGCCTTGAGAAAAAAAAAAAAATCTCAGAGACAGTGCCTAGGCCTTGAGTTCAAGCCCTAGGACTAGCACAAACAAAACAAAAAACAAAGAAAAGTGGCTGACCACCCAGGTAGTTATGGACAGACTGGCAGACCACTAGAGAGGGCTGTGGGTTCCTAGGAATGCACTATGACTCCACACTACATAAACAGAGCCTGCTTCAAGCCTTGGCCTAATAAATTGTGTGATTAGCGATGCTAATCACAGTACTGCTGATTGCCTGTATGCACTGGCCCAGGGCCCTTGTTTGGGAGTAGATGGCACTGGGAAATTCCAGGGCAGAGCCCACCAGCAGAGGCTGTCTGGCAGGCTAGGAGTGAGGAGACATGTCAGATACAGGCACTCAGGATACAGCCTCTGGACAAGGAAAGGAGTCACTGCTCACTGGAATCAGTGAGTCTCAATTATAAATGCTTTTCAAATACATTAAGGTATTATGGGCATTTTTTTCTTGCTAAAAGACATGGACACAAGAATCATACACATCTATGAAATACAGGATGGCTTTTTCATTCATGGATATGTTGCACAATGTTCAAATCAGGGTAATCAACATAGCCATCACCTGAAACATTGATAATTTCTTTGTGGTGAGAAATTGGAAATCTCTGGGTTATTTTGAAATACACATACTTGTGGTAACTACATTCGCTGTGCAATAGAACAAGAGAACTTATTCCTCCTGTCTGACCATAATTTGTATCCAATGGCTGGCCTCTCCCCACCTCCTCCTCCACTCTGGTCTCATTAGTTTCTCATATAAATCAAGACTAGAATGGTGGTTATGAGATGAACTTTTGGAGGTTTAACATATTGGCAAGGTCATGTATCTGGCTTCACTTAACATGATGTCATCTAAATCTACCCATGTTGCCATAGATAAGTGTTTAATCTTTTTTATGGCTGAATAGTATTCCATAGTGTATATGTATCACATTTTCTTTATTCTTCCACTGATGGTCACTTATGTAGTTTCATTTCTTGGCTGTTGAAAATAGTGAACATGCGGGGAGTGGGGTGGGGAGGAGTATACAGGTATCTCTTTGACAGATTGATTTCATTTTTTTTGGCTTATACCCAGCAGTAGGATTGCAGGATTTCACAGTAGTTCTATTTTTAATATTCTGAGGCACCTCCATGCTGTGTTCCATGTGTATACCAAGTTATAATCCCACCAATGGGAATATTCCAGGGGGGGGTGTCTATTGAAGGTATTTTTGGAATTTTCTCCTGGAGTATGAACACATGTACCTATGAATGCAATTGTGGGTTCATGGGTGCACAGCTCCCCATTGCTGCTATAAGAAATGATCACAGGCCAGGCACCAGTGGCTCACTCCTGTAATCCTAGCTACTCAGGAGGCTGAGATCTGAGGATCACAGTTCAAAGCCAGCTGGGGCAGGAAAGTCCCTGAGACTCTCCAATAAAGCACCAGAAAACCAGAAGTGGTGCTGTGGCTTAAAAGGTGGAGCGCTAGCCTTGAGCTGAAGACCTCAGGGACTGCATCCAGACCCAGAGTTTAAGCCCCACAACTGACAAAAAAAAAAAAAAAAAAAAAAAGGATCACAAAATTTGGTGGTCCAGAGAAACACAGATTTTGTTGGTCATAGAGTTTGAACTCAGGGCCTGGGCACTGTCCCTGAACTCTTTTTGCTTGAGGCTAGCACTCTACTGCTTTGAGACACAGCTCCATTTTTGATTTAGCCTTTCTTGCCTGGGCTGTTTTCAAACCCCAATCCTCAGATCTCAGCCTCCTGAATAGCTAGGATTACAGGCGTGAGACACAGGGACCCAATGCAACACAGATTAATATCTCAGTTCTAGAGGTCCAAAGCCTAAAAGGAGTCTCTGGGGGGAAAAAAATCAAGGTAACAGCTTAGTTGTATTCCTTTTGGGGCTCTAATGAAGAATTCTTCGAATGTGACTTTCTGGCTTCTCAGGGCTGCCTCTGCATTCTTTGGCTCATAGCCTGCTCCTGTCTTCACAGCCAGTAAGAGCTGAGTGAGCCTTTCTCAGGCTACATGGCTGACACTTCCTCTACCCCTTATAAGGACTCTTGTGATTATATAGGGTCTGCTTAGATAATCTAGGATAATCTCTCATCTCAAGATCATAAACTTAAGATCACCATGTTTCTTGCCATGTAAGGGAATACAAATAGATCCCAAGAATGAGTGGATTGTTGTTTTTATTTTGTGTGTGTGTGTGTTGGGGGGGGAATCTTTTTGCTTACTACATGCTATATTAGATAAGGACTGTTTTCCAAAGAAGCTGTACCAATTTACCTCTCAGCAGCAGCTTCTGCTGTTCTATACCTTCGCTAACACCTGTAATGTTAGACTTCAAAGCTTTTGTCCTTGTTGGCTTCTGTACACGATTTCTGCATAGTGTACAGCCATGGTCTAAGTCCTTCTCCAGGTGACCTGATCTCTGGACCTGAGCTGCTGTCCTAGCCTGGTTGTTCTCCAGTTTTGTTCACCACAGTCTGGTCCCAACCCACTGCCTTATACTGCAGTTATTTAACAGTTTACTAAGTGCCCTACATACTTCAATCCTACATGGACTAGATTTCTTCTGAGTCCCTGCCAGCTCTCATAGCACAGGTCCTAACTATATTTGATGGTCAATTTACTTCAATTGTGAGAATGAGAATGAGGGAGGCATGTGAAGATGGTTAGCCCCAAATGAAAAGCCAACAGCTCAAGCTGGGCACAGTGCCTCACGCCTGCAATCCTAGTTACTCAGAAGACCCAAGGACTGATGTTTGGAGCCTGTCTGGCCAGACAAATCCAAGAGACTCCTAGTTTCAATTGAGCAACAAAAAGCCAGAAGAGATGTGGCTCAAATGTTAAACAGCGCCGGCCTTGGGTTAAAAAGCCACACAAGAATGTGAGGCCCTGAGTTCAAGCCCTAGTACCAGCACAAAAAAATAAACACAAAACAACAGCCTTGCATTCAACTGTTGTACTAGTCGTGAACGTGATATTCATTCTTGGCTTATAGCAGTCAGAGCAGTGAAAGATCATGCACCTGGGATCATCTGACTCTCAGAATCCAAATTCTTAAGGGATTTCAAGGTCTAAGAGATCTCCAAGGTCAAGCTGCTTAGCACAGAATGAAGTTTCTTGACCTTAAAAACATTTTGCTATGAAAAATGCTTCCACCACAGCCAATCTGACTTGGAGACATCCTCAAAGAATCACCCATAAAGCCTCTGGCATTTACTACGAGATTGCACAGGACCCGGAGGGAAGGCTGGGACGCGCTTCTCACTAAGTAGTTTCACAAAGCACCATTTCAGTTCTCCTTTACGCACTGGAAATTTTCAGCCCGGGCACAATGCCCAGTGCAACAACAAACAAAACAGATGTGATTTTCCACTCACACTGCTCGGGAAGTTTCATATTAAGCAGTTCAATAATTGCTCACGAAATGTCATCTGTACACTGAAATGTTCTTATAGATGACACTAGGAAAATCATCTGCCCCAAGGGAAACTGATGCCTGAGCATCCAAATGATCGGAAGGCACATCTGGATCTGTGGGCAGGTTTCGCTTGAAGAAGTTCATGAATGCCACAGCGGGAAGGAGGCCCCAAACTCTGCTGTGTCTCCTACCCAGAAATAAGTATGCGTGGTCTGCCCAGGAGACACTAGGAGTCCACTGTGAATGGTATCAAGATGGCAAGAGTGGCCTTTCCAGGAAGAAAGCCCCAGGGGGACAACAGCCATGCTAGAGGTCCTCAATTAGAGGTGATTGAGGCCTTGGTGGAAATGAAAGAATACAAGGTTCACCTTATGCCTAACTAGAATCCATTCCCCAGGTGGAACTTTGGCTCACTAACACATACTAATATCCACACCAGGCCTTCTTGATCCTTTCGATTTATCCTACCCTTTACCATCTTCACTCGCCTGTTCCCTAGGGTACCCAGACAGAAGAATGGCACCCTCTATCCCCACGCTCTCTTAGGCATGCCATCGCCTAGCTGTGACTGCAACCATCCTGGGTGACCGGTGTGTCTCTCCTCTTCCCTAGTTGGCAGTGGGAGACTTGAGGGCAGGCACAGTCTTACCCTCTTGGTGCATCAATATCTGCAGGGACTCAGCTTGGCTGCACCGGTACCTGACCTACTGCGTACTGAGAGCAGAGGCAGCCCCTCCCTCTAAATGACCCATAAAATACCAGCATGAGGACCCCTGACCAGCCTTCTCAGAGTTCCAGTGTGACAGATATTATCTACAATACAACATGGACTTGCCAATGCTGGTACAATGGAATGTTGCCGCAGTGCAAGGCAGAAAATAAATGTCTATACTAAGAAGGTGACTGAGAGAAACATGCCTCCTACTCACACATGGCCAAGTGTGGGCACAGGAGGGTGCCCTGAGCATTTGCATTTTCCTAGTCTTATCCAGTCAGCCCGCCCTCCATGCCCACTGATTCTGCATTCATGGATTCCAACTCAATGCAGCTCAAAAATATTCAGAAGGACAGAAGCGCCGAAACAAATCAAGATGCACTATACTCATAAACTGACACATTGCATTGAAACCCCTTTGTACAACTCCTTACAGATAATAAAGATATTCAAAACCAGGTACTGGTGGCTCATGCCTCTAATCCTAGCTATTCAGGAGGCTGAGATCTGAGGATCACAGTTTGAAGCCAGCCCGGGTAAGAAAGTTGATGAGACTCTTATCTCCAATTAACCACCAGAAAACCAGAAGTAGAGCTGTGGCTCAAAGTGGTAGAGTGCTAGCCTTGAACAAAAAGAAGCTTAGGGACAGCGCCCATGCTCTGAGTTCAAGCTCTATGACCGACCAAAACAAAAACCCCAAAGAACTGCAAAAGCACTGAGCATGTATGGACATAACATATATGTATACATATAACGAGTCATACGGCATCAATGTTAAGTGATGTAGGCCATGTTAAGTGATGTAAACCCGCCTTCGTTGAGGATTTAGTCATATGTTTTTGACCAAACATGGTCAAATAAATAAAATTTGAAACAAAACCCACGTAATTCCTGTGTACTCATTATGCTGCTCAGGAGATGTGGAGAAGCTCCCAGTCAGTCCCACATTATCTTCAGTGGGGTTTATGTTGTGTGTGATCTGTTTTCCTGCCTTTCATTTTGTGAAGCTCTGCCTTACCCCGAAGCAAATGGCAACCCCACCAAAGCAAGGCAAATGTGACTGTGCTTAATTTAAGTGATAAAGTGAAAATTTTAGATTTGTTGAAAGGTGGCACACCTAGCAGCAGTTGGGTGGCATTAGAGGAAAAACGAATCCAGTATCCACAGTACACTGTCGAGTTCTAGGCCTCCTGAGCAGCCATGTTTTTACTCGATGACATCTCTTGGAACTGTGTACTCACGAATACAATAGTCTACTGTACTATGACTATTTTATGTAGGGAAATTAAACATTCTGTAACCAGTCTTCCATGGATACCGAGGGACTAGTGTTTTTGCAAACCAAATTCTCAAATGAAGCGTTCACCATAGCATTACACACCCAGGGAAGGACACAATACCTTCAGGCCGTGGTTTTGGCTTTTCCAGTCCTCCATCTTGCATGAGCTCAAAGGCAAAGGAGACATTTAAGACCTGGCAGGAGAGATGCAGAGTATGTATTATGCTCAATCTCAGACTGTGGGGACCTCGGGATCTGTTCCTGGGCAGTGCAGCACTATAGAGCCCAGCACTATAGCCAGAAGGTGGATGCTGAGCTCATCTGAGGACAAGCATGAATGGAAGTGGGAAGACCATGAAGAGGGTGGGCTTGCTGATCTCAGAATGCTCCGAGAGCAGCCCTTTTCTCATCCTGTCATGTCCCTGCATTAAAAACTGGGTATATCTGTGCATGTATCTGAAAAGATCAGATGGCAAGACATCAAGAGGCAGAGAAGGGTCTCTACTCAGAACCAACTACCTCTGTCTAGTGAGCAGGATGCGGTAACATAGGGGAGGTTGTCAGAACCAGGTTGGTCATGTGCCACAGGGCTACCTAGCCCTGCAGCCACCTTCCCTATTACTTGTGAAGATGAGACTGGCCATGCACCAATAGAAACACATAGCTAGGAGGGGAGGCTAGGCAGCTGGTGAATACAAGGGCTGTTCTGGATGCTTAGGAGTATGTCAGTCACTCCTTCCCAGCTTAGCTGCTTCAGTCAGTCCTGCCTCCAAACACTGCTGACCCGGCAGAGGTTACCTTGGTAGCCTGCACCCAAATGTACATGATGAGGGTTCTGGGCTTCCCCCAATTCCCCTTTTACTTACCTTCTGTTCAAAACTATCTGGAGTCAGGAAGAAGCTGTGCAGGGGCACAAAGTAGCCCTCTAGGAGCCCCATGAGCAGCACCAGGTACACCCCATCTGCAAACTAGAGAGCGAGAGCCAGAGGCAAATGATGGTTTGTTGGTCCTGAGCCAAGCCCCGTTGGTGATGGTTCATCTGCCATGTCTTCCCACCCAATAGCCACCTCCCAGGAAGACTGCTGGCAGGGCTGCGCGTCAGTGGTCGAAGTCAGGGAGCTCTGCTATCAAGTTTTCTCAGTATCTCGTCCATAAGTCCAAGGCCTGCTGCCAACTGATCTATCATTGCTTAATATTGACTGTGCACCCCAATTTCTAATATGGGCATGGGGACCAGAGTTGGGCAAGTGTGGCTCATGGCCATTGAGGGGCTCACGGAGAGACTGAAGTGGAAGTACTGTGGTGGCTGCTCTGTATGAGACAGAACAGTCACCTACAGAAGCATCAGAGGTAAGAGGCACAGTCAGAGCGGGGCTGGGGAGTGCAAGGTGAAATCCAAGGCAAAAGAGGAGGCTTCCAGAGCTACTTGGCCTTCATTTGTTATACTTTTTGGTGATACTGAGGAGTGAACTCAAGGCCTTGTGTTTACTAGGCTAGCATTCTACTACTTGAGCTACACCACTAGCTGATTTTTATTTTTAAAATTGTTGTTGTTATTGTTGACTATTTTCACGGTAGGGTTTTCAGGTCAGCTTGGGCTATGGTCCTACTACTTTGTGTTTCCCTTGTGTTTCCCTGTGTGGCCAAGATGACAGGACTGTGTTGTGTCCAGCCATTGGCTAAGATGGAATCTCCTGAATTTTAATTCCCAGCTGATCTTTAACTGCAATCCCCTGATCTCTGCTTTTTTTTTTTTTTTTTGAGACAGTTTCACTGTATAGCCAAGGATGGCCTCAAACTCCTGCTTCAACCTCCTGAGTGGGGAGACTGCAGAGGTGTGCAGCACCACACCCATGACTTTTGCTGTGTGTGTGTGTGTGAGTTCTGGGGGCTTGACTCAGGGCCTAGGGCGCTGTCCCTGAGATTTTTGCTCAAGGGTAGTAGACTACCACTTGAGCCACACCTCTACTTCCAACTTTTTGTGGTTAATTGGAGAAAAGAGTCTCATGGACTTTCCTGCCTGAAATCCTTCCATTTCAGCTTCCCAAGTAGCTAGGATTATAGGTGTGAGCCACCAGCATCCTGCTAACTTTTGCTTTTTGCACAGAGAAAGAACTGTGGCATCATATGGGACTACCATTCTCCTTTCTCAAATATTACTTGCTCATGGCTAGATAGGCGGTCCAGGGCAGCTGTAAAAAGGTGGGCTCTGGTTTCTAATTCCAGTCATACTACTTACTAGCTATGGTACTCCGACCTTCTCTATACCTCATTTTTCTTATCTGTAAAATGGGGATGTTATGTTAACAGCATTCTCTTCCCCATAGAATTATAGAGAAGACTAAACCAGTAAAGTATTTGTGACCTGCTTGACTTGACAGTCAATACAAATGACTACTTTTATTCTTATCTGGGTAAACAAGAAAGCAAATCCAAACCTGACTTCCTAGGTTTGCTGGGCAGTAGAGCCAGGGAGGTTTGGTTCAGGGGAAAAGAGGCTTGTGGACTAAGTGCAAGGAAATCAGGGTAGGTCATTGTCCACTTGTACACCAGCAGGGGCCTGGGGTGAAAGCATTTTGGAGAGGGTCTGTATACCGGTATGGAGGTGACCTGAGAACAGATCCATGGTTGTATGTATGATTGATATTCTAGAACCTTTCAAAGGCTGGGCCACTATGTTTGTGGGAACAAACAATAGTTTGTTCACAAGAGTCCAGACTTCTTGGTCTTGCTCTAGGAAGAGAAGAACCATGGGCCTGGTGCAGCATGGGCCTAGAGCAGGTGCTGAATGAACTTTGCACGTTAACTAGCTGGAACTCATGGGCTCAGCCCTCCTCAAAGCGGTCGACCCTGAGTAGGGCCTGAGGACCGCTGAGCGGAACAGACCTCGTGCTTTGCCCCTCAGCCTGGAAAGCTGCAGGTTTGTGGGAAAGCCTAGCCTAGTGGGTGGGGCACGTGGACCACTGCCTGTCCACCACCTGCTTCCCACCCTTTCTCCAGCTGTCACCCACCTGGGTTTCCAGTTCTGTGACCTCCAGATTCAGTTTATTCAGGTGCTTGTTCACAAAGGTGATGAGGGTCTACAAAAAAGACACAGGGACATTGAAGTGGAGACTCCTATCTGTGCCACACTCAGGATTCCCCCCTGGGACTCCACCCTGAGAGTGGGCAGCCCGTGGAAAGGCCCTGGAGCCACAGGGAAAGGCACAGGTTCTTAGCAGTGCACGTGACAGAGGACTGAGAAACAGGCTGACAGGTAGGGCATCTGAGGCTGGAGTTTGCAGGGTGGGAAAGGAGCTAGCAAGATGGCTCGGGGATAAAATGATTCCCGAGTTCCTTCTTTGGTGCAGCTAATGACACAACTCCCCACTGTACCCACGGGAAGATCTGTGTGATGAACGGGGAGGGCTGGCAGTCATTTTGAAAGGGAAGATGGGACTGGTACCCCAAAGTACGAAACCTGGATGAGGCCCTACAGAAGAGACAGACAGATGGGCATCAAAGAGAGCCCTGTGTGTGCAGAGGTGAGGTCATGACACTGAACCGGAGGACAGGTTTCCCTACAGCACCCCCACTCACTCCCTCGGAGGCCTCACACCCACCTTTTTCACCACATTGAGTTTGTCTGGTGCGTGGTCAAACAAGGTGTCGAAGGCATCACGTTCTAAGAGAGAAGGAAGGAATGTGGGGTACAGAGCGCAGTCCTGGTGGGAAGCCCCACCGCCGGCTCCCACTGGAAATATCTGGGATGCAGGCAGTGGTGGGTATTCTGCAGTCTGGGATCTCGCTGAGTTGGGGCTGCTTCCTACCCTCTGGGCCTTTTTCTGTGTGTTCACCCTGCTTACAGGGATCAGTCCTCCACTGAGCTGATCTGCTGTATATGAGGACTTTGCTAGGCAACTGTCCTGGGCTCAGTCCTATGTCACAGAATCAGGGTGCACTCATGGTTCTAGTGTTCTGAAACTCTTTGGAAGGAGAATGCTATCCAAATATCAGAGTATTTCAGCTCCTTATTTTCAAACTCAAGATAGCCAAGACAAACACAGACAGAGATGGAGACCCTGCATGCTTGAGAGAATGTGAGTGCCTCCTCCAGAGGGATCTACTTTTTGTAAGTGCTTTGTGCCTCAGTTTCCCTTTCTACAAAATGCCACATGAAAGATGACTTTGCACTAGTTTGTCATGTAGATGGAAGGCGAGGGTGTGTGCTCTATAAACTCTGTGCTGTACCGAGGTCCCTTGTTTTCACCATAGTGGGCTATTTTACAAGAATACTCAGTAAATACCAAGATAACAGAAGAATAGCCACATCATATGCCCATGTAGATTCTTGCTACAACCTGGGGCTGGAGTGTTTGTGACCTTCTCCACCAAAGCCCAAACTGCTGGAAGGGGATCTCTGACCTTCATGGACTCCATAAGTAAGCCCAAAGGGATAAGGGAAGAAAGAAGGTGAGGGGCAGAGCCTGGTCTCCGAGAGCACTCATACGCCTCCTCCTGTTTCTCCCATACCCACAGGGCAAGCCTGTCCTGCAGGACCAGGCTTGTGCAGACCAGCAAATGAGGGATAGTGTCAGCTGTCCTTCCCACCCAGCCAGCTGGATCCCCAGGCTGAAGCAGACACACGTCTAGGCAGCTGCTGCAGCCTCAAATAACTCACCATGCCTTCCCGACAGAGCCCTGCAGGAAAGAAAGACAGCAGTGTGACTTTCCCCTCCAACTCTCAGGAGTCTAGTCCTGTGAGAAGAGTCAGCCCCTCCCTCCTTGCCACCAGCCTGGCCTTGGATGAGACTTCACATTGTTACTACCTCTTTTCTCTGTTGCTACATAGATTACCTGTGTTAATGCAAACTCTAGCCTCGTGATTCCTGCAGGGTTTGTTCTTGTCATAAATCATTCTATGGCTTGTAGTTACGAAAGAATACTGATGTTAGGGGGCTGAAGATTCTAACTGGTTCATCATGCTTCTCGGGACAGAGAGCAGCATGCCCTCCTTCAGTGTAGAGGTTTTCTGCCCTGGTGGTTGTGTACAACTACCTGGAAGGTCAGCTGTCTCTTGATGCCCATCCTGTGATATACAGCTGCACCTGCCACTGACCTAGGATGTTTTTTTTAGAGAAGGGGAGGAGCTAGACTCACACGGGCAGCTGAAAAACAGCAAAGTCTAAGTAGCAGAGACAAATTACTAATGAGACTTATTTCCCCTGTGTGACTTCCAGCAAGCTGAGGAACCTCTCTGGCCTCTAGATCTCTCTATCTCAAAAATGAGGACAGTAATGGCAAGGCACTTCAGTGGGTGTCATGAGCATTTAATATCTAGAGGGAAGTTACCTAATTCCTAGTATATAAAGTAAATGCTCAAAACATTTTTTTTTTCTCAATGTTTTTGGTTCTCATGATTCTTATGATATTGGTTTATCTACATGTATACCTATCACCCACTAAGGATCACCTATACTTAGTATCTTGGGAAGATTAATGGACATGGACTTTCTGTAGGATAGACCAAGGCTAGAGTGTCCATCACCCCTGGGCTCTGAGAGCTTATGTGTATAACCACTGCTTTAGGTGCCCTTATGCACCATGTAGTCTAGACAAGCAGAGCCCAGGACTCCTGTTGGCCATGCTGGAGAATGTAACAGAGCTTCCTAGAGATGGAACAGGACCTGCAAGGGGAGGGTTAGCCAGGACCAGGAAGGACAGGAAGGAGGGCCATTATGTCTCTAGGCTAGCAAAAGGCTCATCACTCAGATGAGGAGACTGAGGTTAGAGGGTTCAGATACTCAAGACTTACAGGTACCTGTTCTTTCCAGTGTACTGCTCTTATTCAAGGGGGACAGACAGAAAAGTCAGGGCACAGGGGAGGCCAGAATCTAACTTTGCTTAGCTTCATGTGGGATCAGGATCAAGGCCAGGCTGAGGATCCCAAAGCCTTCCACCAACCCGCGCTTTCTGCTTAAGATCAAAGCTCCAGTTCCTCACGGCAAGTCTTTCCCATGTCCTGATTTTCTGATTTTTAAAAGCAAATGTAAGTAACAAAACCAAACCCCTGAAAGACAACTCAACTCAAAAGTGGTGGGGGACATTTTTGGGTCATGGCACATGACCAAATAAATTAGATTCAGAAAAAAAGGAAGAAAAGCACCCTTGTGAAGGTTAACAATTTAAATTCAACCCTGTGTTTATGGCACTACGATTCCATGCTGGTTGGCTTTTTTGGGCACAGACTTTTTTTTTTTCCTGGAGTGCCACAAAATTAGAATTTTTCAATCACCGCTAATACCCCTTCCCCACTTCCCCACCCAAGTTTGTACCTTGAGCATTGAGAGGCATGTTTTGAATGCATGGAAAAGGCTAAACTATAATCATTGGCTGTAGTCTAATCCCTCCTGCAATCCCAATAAATGAAAGCTAAATATCAGCAAATGGGTGAATTTCGGAGAAACATCTGTGTTCCATTACAGACTCGTTGGCAACAATGGTGTTGACATACTCTGTGTTACCAGTTATTTCCTCTTGGATTTGCCGGGACTGGAGGATTCCTTCTCGTTTCTGAAATAGGGGAGGGAGGGAGAATTGGGAAAGAAAAGACAAAAATATGCGTCAGAAAAATAACAAAAAAAATGAGTAGCATTTCTGACATTGAGAAAGTTACTGGCGTTTTAAGAAATGTTCCTAGAGACAAGATAATCCTAGAAGGGAACAGAGGCCCTGAGTTTGGGGGGCCTGGACTGTACCATTAGGAGCAGTGCGATTAGTGTTTAGTCCAAACAAGTAGGCTGTCTCTTGGATGGTGAATCTTTCTTTTCTTGGAAGACTTTCTGCTGGAAGCAAACTGTGAGCCTCCCGGAGTAACACACAGTAAACCAAATGGAAATGAAGGCCAGGGTGTGTCTGCCCTCCAGCTGGGGCCATGGAGGGAGGCTGAGACTTTTAACTAGAGTTGCTGGATAGAAGAACCGAGGCCAACTTGGAGAATTCGGACAGAGGCACAACTTTCTTTTTTTCTTTTTAAACTCATTTTGCTTTGTTTTACTTTTTTTTTTTTTTTTTTTTACTGGAAGCTTTTTATTAATTAGTGTGGATCTTACATAGGTACCCTGAGAAAAATGAAGAGCATTTTGAGAGCCTCACCCAGCCAAGTCAGCTGTGCATCCATCCCTTGCCCAACCCTCTTCTAGCAATTCCTTCTCTAGAGGAGGCCCTGAACTGGAGTTAGAACAGATACTATGGAGTATGTGACCTGGCTTTAAGGCTTCTGAGGACTTAGGAGTAAAAGCTGTAGGAGGAAGTAGGCAAGGGAGAATGGTTCCCTGAATGGTCCTGGGCTGTGCCTGATTATCTTTACCTTAATGACTAAAAGGTTCCTTTCACTCTCAAAAGTGTTACGGACAATAATTCTGTGGCTGCTCTGTGCAAAGTGGAAGTGCTGGATGCAGGGTGGGGGTGTGGCCTTTCAGATGGATGGCCAGAAAAGCAGCCTTTGGTGGTGGAGGGTGGGGTGGTTCCTGAAGTAGGAACTTCCAGGAGAGCCAGGATGTGGCTAGGCACTGAGGGTCCACTGCAGGAAGGAATGCCCTCAGCCAACATGCAGAATCAGGACAGCACAAATCTGAGCAGTGATTCCTTTGGAAGGAAGGTATTAAGTCTCTAGGCAGCCCTGAGTGCTGGTTGGAGAGTTGTGCCTTTGCTGTGTGGCCTTGGGGCTAACGAAGGAGCATTAGGGAGCTTTTTGATGGGTACCAGCAGGCAAATTCACTAACTGGTGCTTAGACAGCCAGCACTGGCCACCTGGACGACAGTCTGGGCAGGATACAGGATTCACAGAGCAGGTTGGTTTCAAGGCTGAGGTGGGTGTTAAAGAGGGGCAGAGGGCCTGTGAGCTTAGCTGACACACCTTCTTTAGCCTCCTATCAAAACTTCCATAAATGTCCTCTTACATTCCCAGACAGCAGTGTCCTTGCAAAACTCTCTGACCAAAGGGAAAGCAGAGCTAGACAAAGCCAACAGTCTCACCAGTTTACACAAAGAATGAACTATCAAGCTAAAAAAGAAAGTAAAGGGAAAAACAGATATTTAAAGGTGACCAGGTGATAGATGATAGACCTTTTCAGAATTGAGTTTAGTAACATGTCACAGTGTCCCATGGGCTGGTGGAACCTTGGTCTTCTAAGACCATTTCCAGACATAAAACTTCACCTTTCAGTTCATGTGGAATTAAGTGCTTTTGTATAGATAGAATGGAAAGGAAATCTGGATTAAACAGGCCCTTGCTTATCATCTCGACTCTCTTCATTATTTATCCACTGGAGAGTTCTTCCTACAATTCATCCAGGAACTTTCTGAGGCCAACTTCTGTACCTGTTCACTTGATGAAACAAATCACTCTGTAACTTATGACATGGGCGATGCTACTTGGTATAATACATCCTCTTCTTCTATGTCCTCATGTTAACTTCCTATAGGAAATGAAACCTACAACAGCCTTCTAATGGTCTATGAGTAAGCTCAAAATAAGGCCTGAGATGTAGGCTGTTTCAAAATAGGAGGCCTCAAACCTTGTCATAATTTTTTGCCCACAGGTGTTCTAACAGCCATATTTTGCTATTTTCATTAGAACTGTTTATTCTAGCTGGTAGGAAAAATAAAGATGTTCAATAAATAAGTGAATAAGGGATTGAAATGGATTGTCAGAAAAGAGAAGGTACAAGAGGTCAGTGAGCATAAAAGTATTTCCACTAGCAATGGAAGAGGTGTATATAAATATATACCTCTTTTGTTATATGAATATAACAAGAGCATGTTTATACAATTGAAACATTTTTCAGGTCTTCCAGGAATGTTGGCACAAGCCTGACATCCCAGCTACTTGGGGAGACTGAGATTGGTGTTCAGGTTGAAGCGCATGACTTCAAGGTCCATTTCAACCATGGACATGGCGGTACATGCTTACTGCCCAAGCTACGGGAAAACATAATGGCCTGGTGCAGTGGCACCTGCCCATTATCCCCAATGATGTAGGGGAGCACATGTCGAAGGACTGCAACCTGAGCCAGCCCAAGCATAGCGTGAGACCCCACCTTGAAATAACTAATGGCAAAGAGGCTGGGGGTATTGTTCAGGAGGTCTGCCTAGGAAGTTTGAGCCATGAGTTGAAATAAATATGATTAATGAATGTATTAGCTACTTGGAAGGCAGAAATCAGAATTGCAATTTAAGGCCAATCGGGGCAAAAGGACTAACAAGACCCCATCATCTCACATAGGATCACAGTCCTATGCAAATCCTGAACAAAAATTCAGACCCTTTCTGAAAAATACCAAAGCAAACATGGCTAGGGAAATAGCACATGTGGTAGAGCACCTGACTAGTGACTACCAGATCCTGAATTCAAACCCCAGTACTGAAAAAAAAGTTATGTAGTCTTTCATTATGTAGTCTTTCATTTACTGTTCCAGGAATCGTGGTATTTAGTAGACTATGTTTTTTAGAGTAGTTGTAGGTTCACAGATGCTGAGATTTCCCCCAAGCCATTACGGATAACCTTGCAGAACTTGCAGTGACCAATCACTAGCCTCTGAAAGCGCAGATTTTTGTTAGAGCTGACCCTTCATGCACTACATTATTTTATAACTCTAGACAAATATATCCCTCACTGTAGAATTGTACAAAATAGTTTCATTGTTCCCTCCCCCACACCCTGCCCTCCTGCCTGTCCCCAATCCTCTGTGCTTCACCTATTCATTTCTCCTTCCCCCAATGGTACTTACAAAAAACACAAGATGGCTTCACCCATCATTAACACAGTGGAGATGACCTGGTCCATCATGAAGATGCTTGTCTCCAGAATGTACTGTGTATCTACAGCACATACAACATGCCAAGCACCCTATCTCATATAAAAGGCTCAATAAATGAGCACAATTAGTACCTGACAGTCCGCTGCACTTTAGAGTCTGACTCACGGCTTAGCACCTTAGCACGGTTAGCTGATAGCCTTCTGCTTCCTAGTTGTAGTCTTGCTTCCTGGCAGGTAGGGCCATTATTCTTAGCTTATCTTCTTCTGATACCTGAAAGCTCAGCTTCTAAGCTCTTTTATCCTGCAGACTGGCCTGGCCTGACCTGGCAAAGTTTCCCAGCCTGCAAGCCTTTCCCTCACTCAGGGATAGCAGAGTGGCCTCTTGTTGTCTATTCCAGAACCCTGGGTAGCCTCAGGTATCCAGGGAGCTGCTTGTGCAGAGAGTTTGCCTTCACTGCCTGTTTATTTGGAAAAGAACAGAAGCACACAAACAGAACGATGACCTTGTGCTAAATGGGCATAAAGTTGGAAAACAAAATTGTATTTGAGTATTTAATGGGGTTAGGAGCGGAGTGCGATAGTCGTGGGGAGAGAGCACCCCCTCACTGTGGAAATTACACAGCCATATGTGAATGGAAATTCCATCCAACCATCTGGAAAAGATGACCTGAGGTCCCGGCTTTGTTGGCTGGTGAGTGAGGAGCAGCAGTGCCTCCAATCCAGGTATGGCCAGCGAGGTCTCACACATGCATACACCCCTTCCCCCACACCCAGCTACCTCCCCCAATACCTCATTTCTCCATAGCTTTCTGGGCACCCTGCACACATGTGTGAACATGAACACACACCTTTTCTTCTGCCCTACCACACATGCCTCAGAAACATAACATATACCCCCAAATCTACATTCTACCATCTCCCAACAAAAACATGTAAACTCCAGGCACAGACCGCATACAGCCCTACTGTATATACTAGCACACTCCCCTTGCCCCATTCCTTTATCCATCTAGCAGGCAAAAGCCCACATGTATTTGATGTTTCTCATGTAACTTCTAACACACAGCCAAGCAGGCTCAGCACCCACCCAGCTGTACTGTCAGTTCTTCTAACAACATACCCAATGTGCTTTAACTCTTACAAGAATGTTGCTTCCACAGATTTCTTTTTTTGTGCTGGTCCTAAGGCTTGAACTCAGGGTCTGGGCACGGTCTCCTTTTCCATCCAAGGCTAGTACATTACCACTTGAACCACAGCTCCATTTTTGAGCTTTCTGGTGATTAATTGGAGGTAAGAATCTCAAGGCAAGAAGTTGCCTGGGCTGTCTTGGAATCATGATTCTCAATCTCAGCCTCATGAGTAGCTAGGATTACAGGCATGAGCCATGTTGCTTCCACAGCTCTTTAAAGGCATATGGTTGTTGTGGTGTTCATCTTACCTGGACCACAACCACCTGGATAGAAACATGGTCCGGAAGTCGGATTGGTGCCCGGAAATACTGAGACAGAGCAACCAGTAGGTGTAAGATGGCCACCAGGCTCTTGGCGTGAACAGCTGAAATGGAAGGATTTAAAAATGAGAGTATTTTCTTCTAGGTCCTAGGCAACGTAAGTAGATAGTCAGAATGTACTCCACTCAGTGCCCCCTTGTCCCCCCTGAAGGTCCCTCAGTCACCATGGGCCTCTCAGTTCCTAGCCAGCTCCCTTGGAGCCCCTTCTTTGGGTCTTATTACTGCAGGGTTTCTATTTTTTTTTTTTCCTTTGTCGGTCGTGGGGCTTGAACTCTGGGCTTGGGCGCTGTCCCTGTGCTCTTCAGCTCAAGGCAAGCGCTGTACCGCTTGAGCCACAGTGCCACTTCTGGTTTTCTAGTGGTTTATTAGAGATAAGAGTCTCACAGACTTTCCTGCCTGGGCTGGCTTTGAACTATGATCCTCAGATCTCAGCCTCCTTAGTAGCTAGGATTACAGGCATTAGCCACCGGCTCCTGGCTAGTTTGCTTTTTTTTTTTTTTTTTTTGTCATTTCCAGGGGCCTGAACTCTGGGCCTGGGTGCTGTCCCTCAGCTCAAAGCTAGCGCTTGAGCCTACCACTTGAGCCACAGTGCCACTTCCCACTTTTTCTGCTTATGTGGTGCTAAGGAATTGAACCCAGGGCCTCATGCATGCCAGGCATGCGCTCCACCACTGAGCCACTGTCCCAGCCCAGGGTTTCTATTCTAACTCAGGATGCCAATGCAGTGTGAGTTCAGCTACTTGCTCCCCAGCCCTGTGTCCCTGTTCCTGCCCTTCAGATACTGTGAGCTTATCTGCTTTGGATTGTTCACACTACCTCTAACCAACATTGGACAAATGGGCACTGAGTCGGGGGCCCTAGGCCTCTGTTTGGGGTTGAGCTCTCTGAAGGAACGCACAAGAGCCACCCAAAGTGCTTTGCTGCTTTCCTGAGAAAGAAAAATGAGTGGTCAGCATAGGCCATGCCCGAGGGAACAGCTTAGAGTTGGTATGTATGACCCCAAAGGTTTCTAGCGCTGCAAAGCCATGTGCTGAATGTTAAGCCATTTACACTGGAGAAGGCTGGGCTATCCTGGCTTGTGGTTTTCTCAGTAGATAAGGAGAAAAAGGCTGATACCTAATGTCAGGCACAATGAAGCTTGAATTGTGACTGTGTAATTCTGCCACTTACTCACTGGTGCTCTGACCTTGGGTAGGACAGCCCACTTGAAGCCTCTGAGCCTTAGTCTGTTCAACTGTACAAATGGGTATGATGAGATTTAGGTTGTAAGGATTTCCAGAGACAATGAAGGCAGGGCTCCTGGAACAAAGCAGGTGCTCAGAAATGACTGATACTTAGAAAGTATAACTTACATGAAAGTACCTGGCACCTAGGCAATCAAAACACACTAGATTTCTCCCTTTTTCTTCTCATAAAAGGAAGATTTGCCAGGGGCTTTACCTGTGCCACAGCCCTATCAGCAACATGGCTTTTCCCTTTAGGGGCCATTTAAGTGAAAAAAAAAAGAAAAAACCCAGAAAGCTATTTGTGCCCCGAGTATGCACTGGACTCATTATGAGTGTGTCATTCTGTCTTCCCTGGATTGACAAGTCTGTGGAAGCAGAAGCTTTGAGAAATCACCAGAAAAGGAAATGATTCAGACATTCCTTTGGAATTCATTAGAGTTTCTTGTTATCTTCACTATTTCGACAGACTGAGAACAGCAGCTCAATATCTCACGACACAGCAGGCAATGGCTCTCCGAATGCTCAGCCTTCCAAAGAAGACAATGTTGGCATTGTCAACTGAGTTTTACCTATACTTAGTATAGCTCCAAAGAGGCTCCTGGCTGGGAGTGTTCTCCTAAAAGTGGTACCGTCACTAAGGGGCAGAGATAAAAAAATCACTGATGGCTGATCCTCTGGTTAGAACTGTCTTGCCACCCCTGGTCTGAGTCTGAGGGCTAGAAGTACACTTGCTGTCACCCTTCCTTTAATAACAAAACATTATGCTGGAAATGTTGTGGTCATATAAGCTGTACGTCATCTATACATCATCAAGACTATCTTGGTGAGCAATATGTGACAATACCAAAAGCATCAAACAGTTGTCAGATACGTTTGATCAATGCTCTGTCTGCCTGGGGATCCTTTCAAAAGGAATAATTACACACTATGAGGATAAAGATGTTAACTACTATGTAATATATTATCATCAAAATTCAACCCTGGGATACGCTAATCTCCAGCAGCAAGAAATAACTTTAAAAAAACGCAAAAAAAAAAAAAAAGCAGAGAAACCCTGTGTTCTAAAAGCTAATGGGTAGAGCTCATTAAAAAAAAAAAAGGATGAAGCCGGGCGCTGGTGGCTCACGCCTGTAATCCTCGCTACTCAGGAGGCTGAGATCTGAGGATCGCGGTTCAAAGCCAGCCCGGGCAGGAAAGACCGTGAGACTCCTATCTCCAATAAACTACCAGAAAACCGGAAGTGGCGCTGTAGCTCAAGTGGTAGAGCGCTCGCCTTGAGCTGAAGAGCTGAGGGACAGCGCCCAGGCCCAGAGTTCAAGCCCCACGACCGACAAAAAAAAAAAAAAAAAGATAATTATGAGTCCACTGATGGCTGCCTTCATTTCCCCAGTGACACCTGAGTTCCTCTCCAGGCTGGACCAAGCATATTTTCACAATCACTACGTTCCAGAGTTATAGTAGAGTCACAAAATGGGAGAACTTGTCCTGGGCCTGGGGGGCATCATTACATTCAGGAGGCTGAGATCTGAGGATGGAGGTTCCAAACAAGCCCAGGTAGGAATGTCTGGGAGAGTCTTATCTCCAATTAACCACCAAAGTGAAGCTGTGGCTCCACTGGTAGAGGGCTATCCTTGATCAAAAAAGCTTAGAGAGTGATGGACTCACGCCTGTAATCCTAGCTACTCAGTAGCAAGAGATCTGAGGATCACAGTTCAAAGCTAGCCTGGGCAAGAAAGTCCCTCAGACTCTTACCTCCAAGTAACCACCAAAAAAGGCAGAAGTGGAGCTTTGGCTTAAGCGCTAGAGTGTGCTAGCCTTAAGCAAAAACACCCTGGCCCTGAGTTCAAGTCCCAGGACTGGCACACATACACAAAAGCTCAGATATGTGCCCAGGTCCTGAGTTTCAAGCCCCAGGACCGGTGTGCACATGCACGCGCGCACGCATGCACGCGCGCACACACACACACACATACACACACACACACACACACACACACACAGTTTGCATGCACTGAAAATCATTAAGACAATGGAGGTATAAATATAGATAATGTAATGTTAAAGGTCAATTTAGTAGGAATGAGATAAAAATATAAATTTATGGACATATAGATCTATAAATGCATATGTATCTGTTTCTCTATATATGAACACACACAAATATAACGTGGCCATCACTTAGAATATAGTCATGCTAAAGTAGAAAGATAGCTCAAAATAATTCTAACAACTGCTGCATGTTTGGGCCCCTTCATTGTTGCTGTTTCTGGCACCTCCCCTGGGTGTTTTCTCCTCATGCCACTCAGTACTGTAAGGCTGCCCTAAGCCTGTGCTTGGGGAAGGATCAAAACGGGCTGAGTAAGAGCAAGGACCATGGCTCCACTGTATGTACTGTGCACAAGTCACTCCTGGGCTGGAAGACAGCTTTAAAAACAGCTATGGAATTAGAAATAGTCCTCTAAATATATTCTGTGGTAGAAACAGAAACTGGAGGTAGTTTGATAATATATATTATGACCTTGAAAATGTACATCCTCCTTAGTCCTAAGACACCACTCCTAAGTATTCATCCTAAAAGAACAATTATGGGTCTTATGGCAGAGAATTCATCAAACCATATTGTTATTAATGTGAAAATTCACATCTAAAAACACTTACCATTAGTTATAGCTATACAATGTCATTTATATAACAGTAGCATATCAAATAGTTAACAACTAAAAAGACATTTCTTCCTACATGTATAGGTTGATCTCACTTTTATAAAACACATAGACCCACACAGGCATACACAGTATTCCCCGAGTGTCTGAGGATCAGTGCTTGTGTTGTTTTACTTTATACAGCCCAAAGTACAGAATAATGATGCTGGCAATTCAGATATGCTGAAGAGAAGGTGTAAAGTGCTTCTTTAAAAGTGAGAAGGTAATTGTACACTGAGATTGCTAAGATCTATGTTAAGAATGAGTGTTCTACTTAGGGAATTGTGAAAAAGGAAAAAGAAATTGGTGCTAGTTTTGCTGTTTTACTTTCAAGTGCAAAAAAGTACAGTAACAGTGTATACTTGCTTAGTTAATATGGAAAAGACATTAAATTTGTGCATGTACAGGAAAAGACGTTTAGGGACCACCTATGGTTTCAGGCAGTTGGGGTCTTATAACACATTACCACCTTTGGATAAGGGAGGACTCCTGTGCATATGTACACACATGTATATTGTACCCCACTTATCAGACACACACACAAGATAACCTACACTAGTTAATACTAAAATTTCTTTTATTTGCATTTGGAAATTTTGATGTTATGAATAGGATAAAAGAGCAGCCCCAAAGCCCTAGATCAGGCACCTTGGTAATTCAGCAGTCTGTTCTTGCCATCCTTTTCTGAGTAGAAAGACAACATAGTGTCCCCAAATAGACAGCTAAAGCTGCAAATGGAGACAGGAGGGAGGGAACTCTTCCTCAGAGCTGGGTGCCACAGGCTATTCTGGAGAGGAGCTATATTTCCCTCTGTCCCTCGAAATGCTAATAGTGTTCTTGTGAGGGAGAACAAAAAGGGAAGAAGTGCTCAATCATTGATGAGTATTGGAGAACCCCTCGAAGGAAGACCCCTGCCTAGTTCTGATTTACCCTGTGTCCCACTTCCTAGAATACAGAAGAATGACAACAACAACACAGAAAAACACGAATCCCTTATTCTGGCTTCCATCCAAAAGGCTGAGAAGTAGTGTACATCAAGACCATGGTCTTAGGGTTGGGAATATGGCTTAGTGGTAAAGTGCTTGTCTAGTGTGCATGAAGCCCTGGTTTCAGTTCCTCAGGACCATATAAATAGAAGAAGTCAGAAGTGGCGCTGTGGCTCAAGCCACTAGCCTTGAGCAAAAGAAGCTCAGAGACAGTGCCTCGGCCGAGTTCAAGCCCCAGGACTGGTTTAAAAAAAAAAAAAAATAACATGGTCTTCAGTGGCTCTGGATGATTTGTTCAGTTTATGCTTACTTTAACTTTGTTTGAGAAAATGTATATAAGAATCATGATTATTCATATGTTCACGTGACCATTAAAAATATGCACAAAATATGCATGCGTTTACATGTTTTAGTCTATGCTTGTGTTTCCTTATTTTCTGTTAGTATTCTGTCATGCATGATTTCTGTCTGTCCTATGGCCTTCATAGTTAACAATTTGGGATATCTGCTTCTATTTCTAACTATCCTGTAGTAAATTTAAGCCCTAGGTTGATTATGATCCTTTTACAGTTTTTCAACCTGTTGCTACACCGAGAGAACACAAAGTTAAATGTCTTAGCTGTGTCTCTGTTTACATCCCATGAATTATTTCCCTTTCATAGAGCTCCAGAACTGAATTACTGGGTTGGAGGGTTAATTACCTCTGTGGATGCTCCCTGCAACGCCTCAAGACAAGAAGAGCTGGGCTTATTTACAAGAGGTAGTGGTTGGTTCCATAAGGAATGTGGCAGGCTCAGCTCTGAGGGAAAGTTCCCTCCCTCTTGACTCTATTTAGCAGCTCTGGCTGTCTATCTGGGGACATTGTGTTGTCTTTCTGCTCAAGAAAGGATGGCAGAACAAGCTGCTGAATTACCAACATCCCTGATCTAGGGCCTTAGTGCTGCTCTTTTTTCCTATTCTTTTTTATTTTTTTATTTTTGGGGGTCTGGTTGTGGGGCCTGAACTCTGGGCCTGGGTGCTGTCCCTCAGCTCTTCAGCTCAAGGCTAGTGCTCTACCACTCGAGCCACAGCGCCACTTCTGGCTTTTTTCTTTTTGCTTATGTGGTACTGAGGAATTGAACCCAGGGCCTCAGGCATGCAAGGCAAGCACTCTACTACTGAGCCACCTTCCCAGCCCTCTTTTTTCCTATTCATAACAACAATTTTTTTTTTTTGGTCAGTCATGGAGCTTGAACTCTGGGCTTGGGCACTGTCCCTGGGCTCTTCAGCTCAAGGCGAGAGCCACAGTGCCACTTCCGGTTTTCTAGTGGTTTATTGGAGATAAGAGTCTCATGGACTTTCCTGCCCAGGCTGGCTTTGAACCGCGATCCTCAGATCTCAGCCTCCTGAGTAGCTAGGATTAGAGCCACCGGCGCCTGGCCATAGTGGCAATTTTTTATTACTGAAACTTTCCAAATGCAGATATAAGGCATTTAAATATTAGTGTATATTATGGTATTTAGTGTCTCATTTGTACTCCTCTAAACATAATTATATATATATATATATATTATATATATATATATATATATATTTTTTTTTTTTTTTTTGGCCAGTCCTGGGGCTTGAACTCAGGGCCTGGGTACTATTTCTGAGCTTCTTTTGGTCAAGGCTGGCACTCTACCACTTGAGCCACAGCGCCACTTCTGGCTTTTTCTGTTTATGTGGTACTAAGGAATTGAACCCAGGGCTTCATGCATGCTAGGGAAGCACACTACCACTAAGCCACAAGCCCAGCCTAATATGTCTTAATTCTTGCAATATTTACTTAACCATCTGAGTAAGAATCTTCTTTATCCCCATTTTCAGATGAGAAAGTCAAGTCATAGAGAGGTCAGGACTATGAATGGAAGCTTCCTGAAGGCAAGGATTGTGCTTCTTCACTGCTGGATCCCTGATGGGCACATACTGAGCATATTTGCTATAGAGGCATCACTGGTCCAGGGTCACACAGGTGATAAAGAATGGAGCCAGCAATCAGACCCAGAGTCCCCCCTTCTCTGGCTTCAGGCGTAGTCATTGTCTCCCTCTGCTTGGCAGAGAATGCCCTGTTCCTAGTTGTGTGCTACTCACAGCAGCTCATCATGCTATGTAGCTGTGCCAGCAAAGGTGTAATTATGCTGAAGGAGGTACTTGGTGTCTGTGCCAGGGTGTTAGATATTAGAAACCTTAAGAAGAGATTTCTGCTGGCAGTGCTATCAGGTCACTACATTGAAAGGCATAGTTTCCTTTCTTTTTCCCAAATTTAGAAGTTTTTTTTTTTTTAATTTTATTTTGGGGGTGGAGTGGGGAGAGTCAGAATGTATGCATTTTAGCTTAAATTTAGTATATTACCTAGCCTCTAATACTTAAAACCGTCTAATCATTTGTACTGTCTTTTTTTTTGGTATTTTTATCTACTACAAAGATAAAACTACCTTTGGACTCCCTAACAGGACATACATTGTCATTACTAGATTTATCTGGTCTGTGAAGTTAATGTGGATTGTCATATGGACTCATTAAGTCTGTTCGGACCCAGACTGACTCTTGAGACAGCAGATGAATGAATGGTTTATACTTTCTAAGATCTTAGAGCTACATTAGCTGTGAAAAGCTGAATTTAAGCCAGATTCGGTAGCTCATGTCTATATCCTATCTACTCAAGAGGCTAATATCTGAACATCACAAGTCAAAGCCAGCCAAGGCAGACAAATCTATGAAAACTTTTATCTCCAATTAGCCAGCAAAACCTGGAAGTACAGATGTAGCTCAAGTGGTAGAGTGCCAGCCTTGAGCAAAAAAAGCTAAATGAGAGCACTAAGCATTGAGTTCAAGTTCCAGTACCAGCACATTTAAAAATCCTGTTTCAGGGGCTGGGAAGGTGGCTCAGTGGAAGAGTGCTTGCTTTGCATGCATGAGGTCCTGAGTTCGATTCCTCAGCACCACCTAAACAGAAAAAGCCAGAGGTGGCACTATGGCTCAAGCGGTAGAGCGCTAGCCTTGAGCTGAAGAGCTGAGGGACAGCGCCCAGGCCCAGAGTTCGGGCCCCATGACTGACCCCCCCCCCCCCCAAAAAAAAAATCCTGTTTCAGTGCTGTATCTTTGCTCCTTCTGGCAAAGGGAAGGAGCAAGGAGCATGTGGGCTCTGGAGACAGAGCTGAGACATCCCTTCCAGCTTTCCAACTGCATGGCCATGTGGACCCTGGCTTCCCAAAGCCCCTTCATGGTGGACACAGCAGCCTTCTAAAAGGCTTTGCTGGGGGTCTCAGGAGTGGCTCCATGGGAGTGAGAGATCTCACACAAAGCTGTTTCTACAGAGAGGGACACTGGGTTTTGACACTTAGATTTTTGGCAAAATATGATAAGATATGGCAAGTTCTCTTTCTAAGGAAGGGCATATGTAACTCAAAAAGAGATAGGTTTGTATACTTGGCCTGCCAGCTCTGGTTACTTGGGGGAAGACACACAGTAGCAACCCTAGGGTCATTTAACAGGGCCTGGGTCTTTTGTACAACTCACAGTCCACGTTCCACTTGATGCTCCGGGGAGGAAGCTTCAGGGTTTCGTTGATTTTCTCCAGGACAGTCTGCAGTTTTTGCTTCTGAGCAATCTCCGACTGTGTGACCTCAGCAACATTTAGCTTCTCACTCTCAAGTTTCTCTGGGGTATCAAGAAGAAAGAGAGTAGCTGTTACCTTGGGTCAAAGACAATTCTAATTCATGTACTTCACTCATTCATTCCTGTACATTCATACCCTCAGTCACCAAATGAGTATCTGTCCCTCACGATCTCCCTACAGATACCAAAAATCCTATAGAAAATGGTGGTAGTTGCATAAAACCTACACACATCTTCCTGATAATGATAATCACTTCTAGATTGCTTATAATGCCTAACAGAATGTAACATGCTGTGTTCCATGTTTTATGTTGTAATATTTAGGGAATAATAGGAAAGAAGTCTATATATGTTCAGAACAATGCATTTTTCTCCCTGAATCTTTCAATCTGCAATTGGTTGAATCTGCAGATGTAGAACCCATGGATACTGAGGGCTGACTGTGTTGGACAACCAGTATGGGTCAGTAACTACTTGTCTACTGGTGGTGGCACTAGTAGCTTCAGTATTGGGAAAGTGCGTGTGTGTGTGTGTGTGTGTGTGCGTGTGCGTGTGCGTGTGTGTGTGTGTGTGTGTGTGTGTGTACTGGGGTTTGAATTCGCCTTTTTTTTTTTTTGTTGGTGCTCAAGACTGGCACTCTACTACTTGAGCCACACCTCTACTTCAACCCTTTTGCTAGTTAGAAATAAGAGTCTCAAGGACCGTTTTGCCCTGGTTGGCTTCAAACTGTGATCCTCAAATCTCAGCTCTCTGAGTAGTTAGGATTATAGGCATGAGCCCCTGGTACGTGACTGTGAAAACTTCATGTGTGTGTGCCAGTCCTGGTGCTTGAACTCAGGGGTTGGGCACTGCTGTCCCTGAGCTTCTTTGACTCAGGCTAGCACTATAGTCCTTGAACCACTGCTCTACTTTTGGCTTTTTTGGTAGTGTAGTGGAGATAAGAGTCTCAGACTTTCCTGCCAAAGCTGGATTCATATTGCAGTTCTCAGACCTCAGTCTTCTGCGTAGCCAGGATTCTAGGCATGATCCCCAGGACCACAGGGCATTTAACTTGTCATACTTGAATTCTTTTATTCTGGGCTTTTCCTCTTTCTTCATTCTGCCTTTTCCAAAGACATCTTTGTGCCTCAGCTGGGCAACCTTCCCAGTGTTTCTCTGGCAGAGTCAACTAGCCAGACACTGTTCAAGAAATTGTGTTCATTCCTCTTTAATGTGCCACACCCAATCGTGTTTACCTGATTTAAGCATCTTTTTTCCTTTTAAATTCATGTGGATGCTAACTTATTTGATGCATCATCTTACATTAATTCGAACTTTTCACATTTTAATATTCCTAAAATCAGTTGTCTTAAATCTGATTGCATGCTAATGTGTCTGCTGGAAGTAGAAGATAGGTTATATCTGCCTCCACTGGGTAAACTTGACCAGAGTTCTTCCCTTCTGTTCTCAAGCCTATAATAGCATCCTCAAAAAATTGAAAAATTCTAAGCAAGAAAGCATTAGGTAATAGTTCAATGGAAAGTGATTTTTTTCTTTCTTTCTAAGGGTGTGCTATAAAAATCAGGGGTATACGCTATAAAAGTCAGTGGTATGCTACAAAACATTGTCTAATCATTTTACTTATATCAGTGGACTTGTTGGTAGAAAATATGTTGCCTGTTTCTGGATTTACCTAAGCCATTCAGTACCACTCATTCAGGATTGAGAGAACTGGTACACTGAAATGTGTTTAAAATTTCTTCTTCATACTTTGAAGGGCTACTGTACCAATGGATTAAGCTTTTACATCATTGCCTCCCTACAGTGCTTATTTATTTTAGGAGACTGTAGCTCCCAGAAGTCAAATGCCCTATGAGTAATTCTTTAAAGATGAGGCTGAGGTTGTTGGAGAATTTCTCAAAGGTTCTGTGGATTTATGAGTCCTTTTCAGCACCTTGGTAGGGTTAGCTCAGGTGATTCTTAGATATATTTCAAGTCATCATAGCTCTTTCTTCAGTGCATCAAGCTATCCTTCAAGTCTGAAGTTCAGAAGAAATGAGACTTAGTTAACAGTGATAGATCTAAAGGTCTTCCTTTGAATGGTAAACACTGAAGGGAATTTGTGTGCTTATTTCCATTGTCAGGCTGAATTCTTATTTTGGATCCTCTTCTCTAGAACAAAAGCCAAGTTGCTTTTTTTCCTTTTCTCCCTCCAATTATTTTTGGATGATGCAGTTTTCTATATAGAAGCGTGTTCTTTTCAGCGCATATTACAACTATCAACATTGGGAAGAGCTGCCCACAATGCTAGGCTGAGAGACTTCTGAAGCCTTATTTTGGCCTGGAGGAAAAGCCTGCTAGGATAGACCGCTAGGATATTGATGACTGACTTGGGAGTGGGCGGGGTGGGCCGGGAGAGAGGAGTGGCAGGAGAGCCACTTATTGGCTGGCCCTGCTGGATTACATCATTGTCTATGAATTTTTATATTTATAATCTGCTGGCATTGGCTTAGCTTTCTGAGTCTGTTATCTAGGTCAACAACGTTTTCTTGTACTGTTGTCCATTTTATTCTTGTTTTTGAAAAAAATGGTGGGAGATAAATATAATTTGGCCTCTTTAACCCCCTTCCTGGCACAAGGCTTCTGAAATTCTTATAACTTCCTTAATGACAGAGTGATAACTTCCTTAATGATAGGGTGATAAGAACATCTTTTTGAGCTTTTTGTGTCCAATTCCTGAAAGGGTTCTGAAGTGATGAAAGCTGCCAAGGCAATGAACCATGTGACCAGAACACGGGCCCTCTCTCGTCCTGAAACTCTAACTCATGGACAGGAAGAGGAGCTAGAGGTTGAGTTAATCACCAATAGCACCTAGGTAACCAAGACTTCATTAAAATGAAAATAAAAATCATTTCTTTCAGCTTTTTGTGCTTTGGCCTATTTTTGCAGAACTCTTCTTAAGAATTCTGTGAGTCACCTTTCACCAGCACCAACAGGAATCAGAATGGAAGAAATGTCCTTATGTCAATCTTGTTCACTTTGAAATCTTTGTTGAAAGTCCAGCTTTCATCTCTCCGCTGCCATCTTTATTCCTCTCACTTTTCATTGTTCTTTTGACTGGTAGTATAGCAATTTCTTCAGAGTTGAATATAAAATAATGTTTCTGCATATAGACAAGTTGCGTTTAATCTTAATGACTCATTTTTGTTGAATAAAGGCATAATTTTAGTCTAAGAAAACAAAACACAAAACAAACTCTAACCAAAGAGTTTCGGAGAACTTCTGTGTTGGTGAACACATGCAGATGCTGGAGGGTGATTCACCCAGAAAGGGTCTGGTGGCTCTGGGCCACTCTTCCAGACCTTGCCCTCTGCGTCTATTCCATTTGCCATTCCCAAGTTGTATCCTTGATAATAAAGTGGTAAACTCAAGTGCCTTCCTCAGTTTTATGGGCCATTCTAGAAAATTATTAAATCAAAGAAAGAAATGGGTCAGAGGTGTAGGAAGCCCAGACTTCTGCCTGCCATCCCAAGGGGATTCGGTCTTGAGGGAATGAGCCCTTAACCTGACGAGGAGGGGCCTGCACTACCACAGAAGGTAGTATTAGAATTGAAGTGTAGGATACTCAAATGTCTGTACAAAAGTAGAAAATTATTTGGTGTAGGAAAAAAAAACCCCAAAAAACGCTCTGTATATTTGGTGTCAGAAGAGTGATAAGCATAGAGAAATTCGGTTTCCTTGCTTAGATTTCCACCTTTTTTTCCCCTTAAAAACAGCACTAATTGTTTTTCTATTCTACCAGTATTTTTAACAAGTTGATGAAACTAAAATTGTAATGCATTCTTTCTAAAACTATTTTCCCTTTGGTTTTTAGCATCTGGCATTGCTTATTTAGGAAAAAAAACCCCCACTTCTATGGCTTTGCTCTATTTCTTCTGCAATACAATGATTTCTGAGAATGTAATTTTGAATTTTTTCCATTTTTGTCATTTTGTTTCAATTTTTGTTGCTAGATATTTTATGTTAGACACTGGTATTCAATGAATTGGTAGAGAAAATATATCTCAAAGTAATCTTTATTAACACACACAAGTGCACACAGAAGGAGGTCTTTCTTTTTAAGGCTATTAAATTTTAGGTAGGGTGCCAGTGGTTCACACCTGTAATCCTAGCTATTCCAGAGGCTGTGATCTGAGGATGGTGGTTTGAAGCCAGCCTGGGCAGAAAAGTCCATGAGACTCTTTTCTCCAATTAACCCACCAAAAAGCCAGAAGCGGAACTGTGGCTCAAGTGATGAGTGCTAGCCTTGAGCAAGAAAAGCTCAGGGGTAGTAGGCAGGCCCTGAGTTCAAGCCCCAGGACTTGTACCAAAAAAAATATTTTTTCCCTAATACTTATTATAGCACCTGTAGTCTGTATCTATAGTTTATTTTTATTTATTTTTTTGGTTGTGGGGCTTGAATTCTGGGCCTGGGCACTGTCCCTTAGCTCTTCAGCTCAAGGCAAGCGCTCTATCACTTGAGCCACAGGGCCACTTCCAGTTTTCTGGTGGTTTATTGGGGATAAAAATCTCATGGACTTTCCTGCCCAGACTGGCTTTGAACCGAGATCCTCAGATCTCAGCCTCCTGAGTAGCTAGGATTATAGGCGTGAGCCACTGGTGCCCAGCATATCTATAATTTATTGGTTCTGTTGACAATCTTCATGGTTGCACGTGCTCATGTTTTTGGTATTTCTCAATTTAAGTTCATTTTTCTCAGAATTTTATCTGTGGAAGTTATTTGTTGCTTAGGTTTAGAATTCATTTGTCTTTATTTTTTTAACTGTGAAAATATCTTGCCCATGTAATTGTAACCCCTCTGTACAGTAATGAGTACATTTCTTATGAAGCATTGTAGCCTCCTCATTTGTTTCCCCTTCCCATCCTCCCCCCGTCCCCCCCCCCCAATCCTCCTCGTTCCCCCTTCCCCCAATTCATTTTTCTTTAAAGAAGGAAGTATGTTTCCTTTTATCTCAGATTAATAGTAACCAGGGACAACTTTTAACTAAATTTTTGCCTTTGAA